AAACCAAGCCTCACAGTTAGCGCAGTTGCCAAGGTTATTCGGGCCAGGGTTTCAGCCAAACCCCATCTTCTCAGAAGAGTCCGAGTGGTTGAAGACGAGGACTACACAATCTACAACCCCACAACGAGCATACAAGATCTGGAATTTGACCCGGCAGAATGGGATTGGAAAACAACCACTACAACAACAAGAGTAGCACGCCGGACCAACACCTTGGACTATACTACCAGACTGGGCTACAGACTGAGAAGAAGATCAGTCAACGCACAGTGAATCCTCACGCAATGGTGGAACAAGCACCTCGCTGGGGGTCTGGGAAACCAGACAAAAATATTATGGCAAGTGCCATTATCTCTCCGAAACACAAGGGTGAGAAACATGCAATGGCTGATCTACTACTCTGCACTGCCTTTCAACCAGTGGCTCAGCAAACGAAGATCTCCGGCCGCTCGAAGAGATTTTGATGAAATCTGCACCGTCTGCGAGAAAGGCGCTCCAGAAGATCATCCACACTGCTCACTAACCTGCCTGCAGGCATCCCAACTCTGGACGAGATTGGGGAACCTGTGGGAAGCAGCTACAGCCACCCCCCTGCCAGACAACCCGGTGCCCACACTCACCGGCCTTAAAGAATCACGCCTGCAAGAGAAGTGGCAACGTACACTCTACAGAAGACTCCGCCCTCTGACACTGTGGGCGATATGGAAGAACGTTGCAACCAGATGATCATCGGGGAAACGTCACCGCTGGCTGAAGCATGGGAGGGGATGAGGCAGACCCTAATCACAGAATACCACTCGGATTGGCGCAGGGCTTGAAAGCACATCCAAGAAGAACTCGGCAAAAAACAAGACATCATCAACAAGTTCATAAAGGATGTGCTGGGCAGCGGCAAACTGGAGACTATAATGGGCAACATCCTCAGACTTGCATGGGGAACCCAGCAGCACCACCACGACCACATCACAACAGCCACTTCAACGTCTACTGAGGCAAGACAGGCTCTTTCCCTAGCCTGAAGACTATTCAGAACGGAGGACGGAGGGTTTAGGGTTTAACGGAACAGGGTACAAGGCTTGCAGAAGATTTAGGGGTCAACACAGCAGGGCACTGTTAGCCAACCAGGACACGATATAGCAGCAGGGGTAGACAGACGTAGAGACGGCTCCCCGTAGGGAGGACCTCGTGACTCCAGAATACAACAAATAGCCGACAGCTGCAATAGCTGATTGGAGTTCAGGAACTCTTAGGAAGGGCGCATAGGAATGTGTAGAGACGAGGGGTTGACTTCCTCATAAGTGAGACTGGCTAATGCTGTCAGGATAACTCCGGGTCGAATTGTGAAGTTCCCAGCCTCAGTTTCCAAATCTATTAGTTAATTGTTTAAGTTAAAAAAAAAAAATATATATATATATATATATATCGTCAAATAGAACTGCCCGGTAAACCGTAGGCAGAGAGGGAGAAGAGGACAACAAACGAGGGGCTGTAACAAACTGTTTCGTCGGAGTTTCACCGACTCTATATATATATTAAGCACTGACCAGCATTCCTGCCTGCATTATGTATGAAGCACAAAGAGAAAGACAGAGATAGGAGTTTCATTACCTTGGCATCCACTCCCAGATGAAGATGCATGAAGCTGTCTAATTGTGGGGTCCTTAATCCCCTTTCCATATCCTCCCTGGGCAGCGCACCCTTAGGCAGGAGTTTCATCAGGTCCCAAATGGACGTATTGCTGACCACAGCCTTTCGTGCTTTTAGAGTTCGGCCACCTCTCAATTTCACTCCCACTGCTCTCCCACCTTCCACAAGAATCTGGTCCACATGTGTGCGCAAAGCCAAGCGGCCGCCATGCTTCTCCAGGCCCCGGACAAGAGCCTCGATAATAGCGCCAGTTCCTCCCTTCGGGTACTCCAAAGCACAGCCTGGACGGTACCATTCATTGAATATATAGATCTGTGAACAGAACACAAAGGGAAGCCTGAAATTTTTCAACTGCAACTTGAACAACACATTTTTTTTAAGCCAGCAATGGCACATATGAAAGAAAAGCAAGGAGGAGGACCAAAAAAGGACAAGGGCGAGTAGGAGAAAAAGGAAGAAGAGGAGGAACTGGAGGAAGAAGAGAGAGAGGAAGAGGTCTAAGGTGTTCGCCATGCTGCTCCGGGAACAAACGATGTCATCAGGCAATCAACACATTCCAAGAGGACCTGCACAGGGGCACCTAAAGATACCAGTGTACATTTTTGCCCCCCCCCC